GATCCAGATAAAGCATCATTTCTTCTAGGTCAGATTTCCAAACTTTCTGAGTTTACAGCACCCTTAGTGTCTCAGTAATTTTTATGTAGAGCCTGTAGGCCAACATAAATACCTAACAGTTCTGTTTATTTAGTAGTTAGATCCAAACAACTTAAGTATTTATCTTCTTAACAACTTAAGAGCCATGTGAAAAAATAATACACAAAATTGAAAAGAAGTAACATTTTCATTTCATTCTTTTTTTGTGTGTGTGAGGAAGATCAGCCCTGAGCTAACATCTGCCAATCCTCCTCTTTTTGCTGAGGAAGACTGGCCCTGTGCTAACATCCATGCCCATCTTCCTCTACTTTATATGGGATGCCGCCACAGCATGGCTCAACAAGCGGTGCATCGGTGCACACCCGGGATCCGAACCAGCGAACCCCGGACCGCCACAGCGGAGTACATGCACTTAACCGCTTGCGCCACCGGGCCAGCCCCTCATTTCATTCTTAAATAATCACAACCATTTACTAATGGGCTGTGTGTGTCTGTTGGGCACTGCACAACTGCTCAAACCTTAGAATCAGGTTGGACACTGCCACTCTCATTTCCTGTTCCACGTTGGTTTTTGCTGGGTACTTGCTTTTTATTACAGCAGTTGCAAAAACTCCAGCTTCACAAAAATATGGCATCAAAAGGAATGTAACACAGTCTAACGTTGCAACTATAACTACCTCAAGCGTGGAGCTTGTGAGATGTCTAACAGAGGTTAAGTATTGCTATGTTTCCCTCAAAAACTTAAATATCCCATGGCACCCCTTTGAGCCTCCTGTGGCGTCCTGACCGAGAGTAGCTTTGTATACAATTTGAGAACCTCAGCCCCAGAAACTAGCCCCCGCACTGAGTGAGTACGCCTATTCTGAGCTGCCTCAGCACGCTCTACACATCTCTGTCATGGCCATTACCATATTGCATTATAAGAAGCTGCTTGTGTGTCTGCTTCATTTCAGTAGGGCTGTGAACTCTTTAAGGGCAAGGACCATTCGTTCCTCTTCTTTGTATGCCCAGGGGTAATACAGTGCCCGGCATACAGCTGGTGTTCAGCTGAGAGGAACTGAACTACCAGGAGGGTCAGAGACCACCGTGGAACCCCAGAGAACTAGGGTGGCTGCAGAGGAAGTCAGCCTGGATGACAATTAAACAGGAAATTCCAGTCAAGCTCAAAACCTGTGGTTCTGAGAGGGAGTGAGAATCCTGCTGGACTTGGACATGGGACCAGCCTGAATCTACTCCGTCAGGCCTGAATCCAGCCAAGGGAACCAGAGGCTAGTGTCTCCGAAAGGGCCCCAACCAGTCAAACCTTAGATCAGAGAGCTACACTCAATAAACACTTGGTTTTAGTTTTGGTTTTCATTTGGTGTCCTGGTAAGAGTTCCTTGGGAGGAGAAGGAAAAAAGAGAGTGGAAGGAAGGAAAGAAAGAAAGAAAGGAATGAAGGAGAGAAGGAAGAAGGAAAGAAAGCAAGGAAGGAAAGAAGGAAGGGAAGAAGAGAGGGAGAAAGGAATGTTGCTTTGTCTCACTGGAACTGGAAAGGGATTTTTCCTTTCCAAACCTCCTTTAAAGGCACGAGGGCATCTCTGTAACCCTAGTGGTTGGGTAGAGCTGTAGCCCTGGGGCCAGACCAACCTGGAATCCAAAATTCCACCGAGCTGAGGGCAGAGAGTGGGAGGAATCCCAGCCCTCCCAGCTGGAGTGAAGCAAGGCCCTCAGTGGATGCTGCTGGTTCCTAATTTGGCTAATTTCCTCACAGCTGCTTGCCTGATTTTTTTGATGAGCCATTGCTTTTTTTTTGATTTGTGTGTCCTTCCCCATTATTAGCAGGGCGTCAGAGTTTGCATCTTTTTTTTTTTTCACATTCTGCTAAGAATGAACCCTAGATATAATTGGGAAAGTAAGGACCAGGGTCAGAAGTCAAATTTGTGTTCTCACGTAACTGAACTTCAGCAGTTCACATGTCCCGCCAATTCTAACCACGAAGGTCCCCTCTAAACAATTAATTGCTATCATCCAATGGCTGGACTACTCTCCTTTGAGTTGAAAGGGACGCTCCCCCTTTATCTGCTCAAGGTCTCCGGCAATCTCTGCCAACTTCTGAGTCACTGAGGGTAGCAGCTGTTCAGGCTCAGCCTGGTGTTGGGGTCCACCCCACACACCCCACTGTTCTTGGCATTGGCCCTGTCGATGGACCGTGGAGGTGGGAGCTCTATGGCAACAGTCGTTCTTCAGTGGTGGGGGAGGGGGGCCGTGTTCTGCCACTGCCCATGTTCAGTCTGTTCTGTGGGCAGAGTTCTGGGAACAAACGCAACCCAAATCGTCGTCAGCCTGGCAGTGCGTGAAGGAGCAGCAGAGCTCTGCCTGTGGCTCCTGACCCTAAGGAAGTGGTGAATTTACTCCCCGCGCGACCTCCTGCCGAGAGAATCGCACACCTCTGTTTCAGATCAGTGACTTTTTTCTAGAAACTTTCCAAAAAAGCAAAACACTTTTCTAGCACCTTACTGCCAGGAAGTTCTTTCTGGTATCTAACTCAAGCCCTTTGTGCCATAGAAAAGCTTATTTTACTTTGGCTGACCCTCACTAGAGAAGGTACATCAGATACGATAACCTTCCATAAAATTGAAAACTTCTCAGATTTGTCTTCTTCAGAAAGAAGAATTTGGGTTTCCTTAGCCTTTCGTCATAGTTTTATCACCCAAACCTTTCATAATCTTTCTCAGTTGTATCTTTGAACCCTCTCCAAAACTTGTCTTTTGAGTTACGAGGACCATAACTTAATTAGATCTTTCATTTCCGGAGGGTACTCCTAGTGCTTAGGAAAAATAAATTAAATTTGTCAGATATATTTCATTGGAGGAAGGGCCTGGAAAAAAAAGAAATTGGATCCTTTACATAAATAGCACATTGTACCACAAATGAGTTTTCCTTTACCCAATTGTTTTTGAAACAATGGGTCTTTTTTTGGTGATTTAATCCTCAGAGATTCTAACCTCTAAAAGACCATGATTTGTGTTCTTTTGTGTTCTTCTTGTTCTTTGTTACACAAAGATGTGTGGGTTACACAGCAAGATGTGTGTGGCCTCTGATGGTCTAGTAAGCAGTAAAGGAAACAGGCTGGCAACTCGCAGCAATTAAGCACCTTATCCAGGTGTGAGAATGGTTGGGGTACGCTTGTTTTCCAGCCTTTTCTGCACCACCTTCTGTTCCGAAAGGTTCGGAGGGATCTGCCTTGCTTCTCCTAACTTCATCTTACTGTAAGTAGGTGTGTCTTCTGTAGTGCTGTTCTACTTAGCTGTGCAGATTTCTTTATCCTGATCATTTGGTCTTTGTGCTCAGATTTTCATGGGGAAAAGGAAGGTATTTATTTAACCTTGGGCTGTGGAGCCGAGCGACAGAGGCTGGCCTTCACTCAGCCATCACCTTAGCCAGGCTGCTTTGAGCGCGTTACTTTATTTCTTTGGCCTGAGTTTCCCCTTGTATAAAGCAAAGATGTTGGGCTCACAGATGATGTCTGAGGTCCCTTCCAGTCTGACCCTCTGTGATTCTCACAGCATCTACTGGCTCCCTAGAGGGACCAGGAAAGGGAAGGAGGAGTTGGGTTTAGCAGCCAGTTGGGAAAAAGATGCTTAGAAAGAGTGTCGATTTAAACTAGAATTCCCTCCCCTCTCTTCCCTATCCCAAGGCCCTTGAATCGGTGTGTAGTATAAAGGGATGGGAATGATCATTTATTGGTTACCTCCAACGTTTCAGGCACTGTTCAAGGCTCCTTATATACACACCTCATGATAGAGTAGATGTCCTATGTGTCTTCTACCACCACAACCACCACACACACACCCCACCCACTCCCACCCAGAGGAGTCTACCCTCTTCAGGTCTCACTTGAAATGTCACTTCCTCAGTAAAGCCTTCCCCGACCTCTCAGCCCAGGTTAGGTCTCCCTGTCGTATGTTCTTATGGTTCCCTGTGCTCTCCCTTCATTGCACTTATCACCAATGTAATTCAGTAATGATCTGTAGGATTAATGTGTTCATGCCTGCTCCGCTGAAAGCTCCTTGAGGGCAGGGGCCTTATAAGTTTTGTTTTTCACTATATTCCTGGAGCCTAGCACAGTAATAATGACAAAATAATAGCAATTCAGTAAGTATTTATTGAATAAACATAAACACGAATGCATGAATGGATGGATGACTGACAGCAAAGCTGGATACAAACCCAGAACTCTCTGGCTCTTGGAGACTGGGCTGAAATTTCAGAAGCACTCTACTTGTTGCTTGGACACAAGGGCCTCACTGCCATAACCATCCTGCGACACTGCCCCACCAGTAGTAGAGCTTGGTGTTGTTTCTCCAGCAGTGGGAGTGAGAACATCACTGCTCTGGCCATACTCTTTTACCCAGGGCTACTTGTCCCCAAAGATGTCTATAAAATCATGAGAGATTATGGGTCCAGCCTGAGGCTGGTGGTGGTGGTGGTTGGAGGTGGGTGAGAGGAGGCACTGAATTGAACCAAACCAATGGTCCTTTGGGCATCTTGCCTCAAGTTTTAATACTATCAGCACCACTTTCTAACACAGTTTGCCAAGAGGCCGCAAATAAACGCTCTCTCTATAGGGGATCTGGGTCAGTAAAAGCGAGTGGGTGAAAAGGAAGGGGGAAGAACCAAGACATGACAACCTTTCGGGAAGCAAAAATAAAACTCTGATCTGAAAGCTGCTGAAAATAGACTGTATGGGCTGTCAGGCTGCATGCAAATCCAATGCTAATGACATGGAAATTAATTACAAGTCCTAATTTCCATGTGCCTTGCTATGACCCTTCGGGGAAAACCCTGCTGCAGGTGTCTCCCCGCCATGGAGGAGGCTTTGATGTCACTTACTTCACATTCAGCTCTCGCTACTGCAGGGAGAAGAACTGAGAAGAGGCTAAAAATATTAACAATAGAAATTTGATTTTTTTCTTCCAGACAAAAAGCCTTGGCATCCACAGGAGGAAGAAGTGTTCAGGCAGCATGTGACTGGTTGGTATGAAATAAATAAATTGAGAAAATAGCATGTAATTAACTCGAAGTGTATGTGGATGAGCAGGGATGTGCAGCCTTTCTCTAATGGACCCTTCCAGGGGGGAGATGAGCCAAAAGACCACGTGACAACCCATTTATCAAGCTGATTGCCTCCTCTGCCCTGGCCCCAAGGCGTCCTTCTCCTTAAGCTGTGAAAGAAATTCAAAGTATTTCCAAGATAGAGCCCCATCACAATATCCACCCCCTCCAGTCACTGAAAGATACACTTTAGGGGTGTGGATGCTGGGCAAATCAGTTTAGAAAAAATCCTGCTTACCCTCTAGGATATGGCTACCCAGGGCAGACCCCACAAAGCTACCCTAGAGAAGCTTCCCTTGTCTTTGGAGGCACATGGGTTTAATCATAGACTGAACTGAAGGGACAGGCCAGGTTGGAACTGTACTGGTGGACTGGGAAAGGATTTGGGGTTTATCCCAGAATGCTTCCTGGAGAGCAAATTTGGGATTTTTTTTAGGGAGTTGTGGGCCCCGGGTGCAGTATGACAGACAGGAGAAGAGAAGTTGGTGCATCTGAGAGTTGGTTATAAAGTGTGAGCTTTGAGGGGTAGCAGCATTTTAAAGCAGAAAAATGAAAACCTTTCCCCTTGTAGTACCTGGGGTGTGGAACATACGGAGGGTGGATCTGTCTCTTCGCTCCCTTCCATTATTCTGAAGTGAGGCCTGCTTGGCTCTCTTCTCTCTTACAGGTTATTCTCCCATGTCGGGGATCCCTTCCTGGATGACCCCCTGCCCCGGGAGTATGTCCTCTACCTCCGCCCCACTGGCCCCTTAGCACAGAAGCTCTCTGACTTTTGGCAACAGTCGAAGCAGATCTGCGGAAAGAACAAGGCACACAACATCTTCCCCCACATCACCCTCTGCCAGTTCTTCATGGTGAGCTACAATCCCCTTACCCCCCGCCCTGGGGAGCCTGCCTCCCGTACCCCAGCCAGCCCCTTGGGACCTGGAGTCAAAGTCAGGAGTCCCTCGGGAAGCTGGCGGGAATAGTCATGGGCCCCTAGAGTTGGATGGGCCTTGGAGGCATCAGTGAGGTCCACGGCTACTCACCCCAGCTCCTCTTTCCAATATCTGCTGGGGCCCAGGAGCACTCTAGGTTTGGTGTAGCATTGTGATGACCGCGTGCTCCTCAGGAGCCTAGGGACAAGCCTGACCCACTGAGTGACACATTGGTCTGGCAGCCACAAAGGGAACAGATGCGCTAACCCAGCTTCACCCTTGTCAGCTGGCAACCTTTCCACTCTCCCAGCAAGGAAAGAGTAGAAAGTAGAGAGCTGGGAACAAGAAACGTAGTCTATAGACAGGGAAAGCAACTTTAGCCTCTTGGACACTGCCCATGGGTTTTGTCTCGTTAGATCTTTCTAGAGATGACAGAGATACCTTTCACCTGGCATAGTTACCTAGTTCATAATCCTAGCTATCACAAAGCTTATTTAATGACTAAATTAAATCCCCCTCACTGTAATAAATATGTTTCATCTACTTTAGCTCTCTGGGAAGATGGAGAAGAATTGATCTATCCAGGTATATTCAAGACAAGGCAGAATGGTAGCACTTTAAGATAATATATTTTTTTAATATTTTGGGTTGTTTTTTCCAGAGTCTCTCTCCCTCTTTCTTTTTTTTTTTCAGGTAAAAATATGTTCCTAACATCATCTCCCTTACCATTCACTCTGAAAATTAAAATGATTATCATTTCCTCTTAGTCATCCCAGAATCGTTCTCAAAAGCATTCAGAGTTGTAGACACTCATTCTTCCAATGCTCTGAAGAGGGTAGGAGGGTGATGTCACAGCTCTCTGAGCCTCATTCTTCCCAACTATCATGGGGGCGGAAGTAGAGTCAATTTTTGATTGTCTAAGAGGAATAGAACAGGCACAGATGATGCAAAACAATAGAAAACATACCACAATTTATCCTGGGGTGTGGTATTCTTTCCTGACATGTTCCTCCATTCTTCCTTTCTGCTGGACCAGTCCTACTGCATTCTGGCTGGGTTCAGAGGGGCACATCAGAGCAGGGAGGGAGGGGAGAGGTCATCCATTGCCCTAGTTTAATTTACCAGTTGGATAATCCATTTCCTAATTGGGAGTCTGCAGTTCTTCTCTCTCCTCACAAACAGAAGCGTTCATTTAGTAATTGCATCATCAGCCTCCAGCTCTGGGCAGAAGATGCCACATGTTAAGTGGCAGCCGATGTCTGTCTCCCCTTGTCTCTGAGTGAAGCCTCTTGCTTTCCCCTGCCAGTGTGAGGACAGCAAGGTGGATGCCCTGGGGGAAGCCCTGCAGACCACCGTCAGTCGCTGGAAATGTAAGTTCTCAGCCCCGCTGCCCCTGGAGCTCTATACCTCCTCCAACTTCATCGGCCTCTTCGTGAAGGAAGACAGCGCAGAGGTCCTCAAGAAGTTTGCCGCTGACTTTGCTGCGGAGGCGGCATCCAAAACCGGTGAGCCAACACAGCTGCCAGGCCAGCCCTGGGTCCTGTGGATCAGAGAGTTGGGAAGGAAAGGGATGGGTAATTATTGTGGAGGAGTGAGATGGAGTCAGGAGGTGGAGGGTCCTGCAGGCACGGGCAGAACATGACAAAGATCACAGCCATTTCCTGCAGCATCCCATACTTCTTCACTCCATTTTAAAAATATTAAACTACTGTTCTGCTAACCCTCTTGAGAGAATGTCCAATGCCTACTCACTAACACCCAAGTTAAAGGTACACAAATGACTGTTCCCCATGGAACTAGAAATGTATTCTTTTGTAGTGCCACCTTCTTCTCCCAGTTCAGAATTAAGGAACCTTCCTTTCTTCTTGCCAAACTCCCTCCCATGCAGGCATTTATCTGGGTCTCACTCCAGAAGGACCCAGGGCTTTGCTCAGGGGGTAGCATAGTACATAGAGTGGAACCACTTTCTATCAAAGAATAATAAAACCCACTGAGCCAACACCCTTCAACTCGCTGAAACCCATTAGACAGACCTCTAAGCCTCAAAAGTCAGGCCAAAAGTGCCACCCCTGCAAGATGGCTCCTGCTCTTTTCATGGCAGCTCTTAGTTCAAGCAACCGAGATTTCCCGTCAAAGGAATTAACTTAAAGGGATGCTCAGGATGTGTGCTGACTTAGAGGCAGGAGGCATGGAGAGAGGACAAGAAGGAGAAGTGTGCCAAGCATCTCCTAGTCTGACTCCAGTGCAGACAAGCTCACTGAGCTGAGCAAGATCCTTACCTGCAGTGCGACAGAGACAGTGGGGTGGGGAGTCTTTGTTGGCTTCTTTAAGAATGAAGTCATGGTGCCAGCCCGGTGGCATAGTGGTTAAGTTTTCGTGCTCCACTTTGATGGTCGGGGGTTCGCAGGTTTGGATCCCGGGTGCGGACCGTTGCGCCGCTTGGCAAGCCATGCTGTGGTGGTGCCCCATATAAAGTAGAGGAAGATGGGCACGGATGTTAGCCCAGGGTCAATCTTCCTCAGAAAAAAAAAAAAAAAGAATGAAGTCACAATCTGCAGGTATTTATTGAGCACCTACTATATGTTTATCTATGAGGAATGCAACAGAGCATAAGAAATGGTTTCTCCTGGCTAGCGGTACAGTTGGGAATCTCAGGTCAGGCACTGTGTGATCACAGAGCTTGAGAGGAGAGAGGCCATCATGAGGTGGAGTGGTTCCACCTTCACAGAAGAGAGGAAGCTTACACTGGGACCTTGTTGATCTGTAGATGGAGGAAGGGCCCTGCAGGGGGGCAGGCAGCGTGAGCACAGGCAGAAAGGAACAGGGCAAGCACGGAGGACAGTGTGGAGGCCGCCCTGGCCAGAGCAGAAGGTGCGAGCGGCACAACTGAATCCAAGTGTTGAATGCAAGGCTGGAGCTGGGCTTGCCAACCCCACATCGTGCGGAGGGCCAGAGACGGGGAAGGCCTGAGTAAAGCCACGCGGTTTGCTCCTTGGTCTCCTGACCTTTGGCCTGTACCTCACCTGCCATTGTTTCTTGCTGCTATTTTCATCCCTGACTCGGTCCTTTTGCTCCGTGTTCATCTTTTCCAGAAAAGCCCCAATAGGGCTCAGGACTCGAGGAAGAGTGTGTTGAGGGCCCAGCACCACTGAGTGGGATAGCAGCGAGGTCTCCACTCTCAGAGGAACTCCAGGCCCTTAAGACACCTTGTCTCCTTTGGGAGCGGGGCGTCCTTAGACCCCCTCCCCAGGCACCCCTCCTCCCCCGGGACCGGTCTCTGCTTTCTGACTTTGGTGGAGCCTGCCATTTCACAGGAGTTGAATATTTCAGAGAAATGGCATAATAGAGAGGCAAATTATTTCCTGTTCCTATCCCTCTACCTCAGGGAGATGGCTCTTTTTCATCCCACAGTAGCTATTGTTGAAACCACTAAAACTCCCACAAGGACCAAAACTAATGCTGTAGCCACAAAACCCAAATCCTTCACAAATGAGTGAAGTGCGTCTCAGCCAGGACTGTGGCTGATTCCTAAGGTACATATTGAGTGAGAGGTGGTCAGGCCCTTGCTTGCTTGCTTTCCTTGTAGGAAGGGGAGAGTCAGTCCCTCTCCAAGAATCTGCGACCACTTTCTAAGAACTGGGCCGGCTCAGGTCTCTGCCCTTGTGCGGCCCCCTGGTGGTGATTTGGAGAACTGGGTGGCCCTGCCCTGTGTAGCTGGCCTAGCTCTTGCAACCTAATGTGGAATGCAGGCCACACCATGTCTTTGCCCTAGAACATCTGCCGTGGTATTCTAGAGTTTTAAGTAAACTTAGTGTCATCCTCCAGCCTAGATGGTTTAAGGAGATTCATTCATGTGAATTCATTCATTTAACAAACACAAAAGCTGATAACCTGCTGAGCATTGGGGATACATTGTGAACAAGACACAAAGCCCATGCCTCATGGGGCTTACAACAAAGAAATGCAATGCGGTATAGCAGAAAAAGTGCTCAAAACCAAAGATTCAGCTTCTACTTGTATCTCTGTGATTTGAGCAAGCCCCTTAATTTCTCACATTCCTTAAATTTCCTCTAGTTGCATCTTTAGTGTTCTGGCTTGGGCAGTAGATGGATCTCCCCCATTTAAACATGTACAAAAGAGAAAGAAAAGCCATTCCCATGTGTAGGTAGGTTGGTTTGGTTTGGTTTGTTTTTTAGAGTGTCTTAGAATAACAGTCTGTACTTTAAACCAGTGGTTCTCAACAGGAGCAGTTTTGCCCCCCAGGGGACATTTGGCAATATCTGGAGTCATTTTTGGTTGTCACAACTTGAAGGGTGCTACTGGCATCTAGTGAGTAGGGGCCAGGGATGCAGCTAAAAACCCTAGAATGCACAGGACAGCACCAACGACAAAGAATTATTTGACCCAATGCTGTTGAGAAACGTTGTATTAAACTTTGAAAATATTCCATCTTTTTCCATTGTTTTTCCATCAGGGCCACCCAGAAGCTAAGAGACTTTATTTCAAAACAAAGGCAGTACAGCTTAGGGAGTCACAGGATTATAAAATTTGCTCTATTTCTACATAAATTAGTTCATTCCTTTAGGTCTCAGTTTCCTCATCTGAATGGTGGGGCCAGTGATAATCAGTTGGAATTGTTGTGGAGCCAAGTGAAACGATTACCTCTCAGCTGATCCATAGCTCCTACAGAAAAGCCAGATGTGTGGCTCTTGATCTTCGAATTGTGGGTTGATTCAGGATTTGTTACCCCTCCCCGCTTATTCTGCTGCTGTGAAGGAAAGAAACAGCTTTTGTCTGACCGAGGGACTCCCTCCTTTGTTATTTGGGAAGCAGAATTTATGAGGGCACCTGTCTGTGTTCTTCCTTAAGTCTCCACCATTGCTATGACCACCACATTCTAATAACTGTTTCCTTTCTTGTTCCAGAAGTACATGTGGAACCTCATAAGAAGCAGCTGCATGTGACCCTGGCTTACCACTTCCAAGCTAGCCACCTACCAACCCTGGAGAAACTAGCCCAGAATATTGATGTCAAACTAGGGTGCGACTGGGTGGCTACCATATTCTCTCGGGATATCCGATTTGCTAACCATGAGGTAATGTCTCTCCTGACTCTACCAGAGGCGCAGGGGTGCAGTCAGAACCAGGAGAGCTTGGGGCTTGCTGCCACAGGGAGATGGGTACCAAAGGAAGGCAATGCAGCAAGTGCCAGACCAGGAGTCGGCTGGCCCAGGATTTGTCTAGGTGCTACCCGACTCACTGGGAAGCTTTGAGCTTGCATCACTCCTCTCTGGGTGCTGAGTGGCCCACCTGTGTACTATCCCCATTGTTCTGTCTGCCCTGCCAAACTTACTGGAATGATATAGAAATGAAGTGGGAGAATAGATAAAAAAGTACGTTGGAAAATTTTTAAATATTGTATCAGTTCATGGTGTTAATAGATAGAAGACATCATCCTGATCTTAGGTGAGGAGGAGAACTCATAAATACAAAAAAATCTGTAAACACATAATCAATAGCTATTTGATGACACATAATCAACAGATATTTGCTGAATATCTATGGCATGCAAAGTACCATGGAACATACTAGAATTTTAAAATGTGGACCTGTCCTCAAGGAGCTTTGAGTCTAGCAGGGGAGAGAGAATAGACACACATGAAATGATAGCACAGACCAAATATTGTGAGAGTTTGTGTGGATCACATGGGAGGCACGATGGGACAATTGAATCCCAGTGCAGATGGAAGGATTGGCACCATCCTAGCATCCTTCTTTTGAGGGAATTGACATTGCTTTCCAGGACTAGCACATGCCATCCCTAAAGAGTAATATTGTCCTTTTTCTTCCTGAAGAAGAAGCTGAGACACGAAGAGATGAAGTGGCTGGTTCAAAACTAAATAGCAATTTAGGACCAGAGCTGAAGCCAGAACCCAGGGATTCTGACCAACAAAGATGGGCAACCCATCTGAAAAAAAGACCACATCGTTTGATGAAAAATTTGTCATCCAGTTTAACTACATTTATGAAATAGTACTTATATTTGTTTCTCAATTTTACAGTGGCAAAAGAACTGATATTTTTTGTTAGTTTATATGGCCTTTTAACATCTCTTTTAGACATTTTTTTAAACATGAAAAACAGAACCTCAGGGTCTAGAGCAGGCAAACTCATCATTGTTTTGGAAGTGCTGGGAAGAGCTGACCCCTGAACCAAAGGTCCAGGCCTAGGCATGGGGCCTGTGAGGGTCAGGAACATGCAGCTTTGTCTGACTCTGCTGATGGGAATGTCGTGTCCTCCTTCCGAGTCATTTGATGCAAGTTTCTGTAAAGACACAACAAGGTGACTGGGCTTGATGTTACTTAAGACTTCTGACATCTCCTGGAATTGCTTAGGGTGAGCCCTAAATATAACAAGAGAGGTGTGCCTGATTGGACTCCTTCCGAGGGCAAAGAAAAAAAAAAGTCAAGTTCATGCAGATGGACTGTGAGAAGTCACCTTTCTAAAAGAAGGAAGGTGGCAATGGAATTTTACAAGGAATATCTTCTAATCAACACTGCCCTCCAGTTAACTCAAAGGGTAATTGCTTTTCTGCCTGACCCACATTCTGCTCAATTGGCACCGAGGGAAAGAGGCAGCAAGCACCCATATGAATAATTTTCTAAAAATACCATGGCCTCTTTTATCTCTTAGGTGTAAGAGCTCATTTATTACTGTTCCTTCTGATAAAGTTCTCCCTCTGAGGTCGTTTGGCTTCACCTGAGCCCTCCTGCATATGTAAACTATTCTCGCCTTCTTTTTCTGTGCTCAGGAGGCTGGTTTGATTGATTGTCCCAAGGAGGTAACAGATGTCCAGAGAGGGAATGCAGCTTAGGCAAGGACACTCGGCAAATGATGTTTAGGAAGACTCCTAGGTCTCATCCCTCTGCTGTTTAGATTCTCACTTGATTTCGACTTGCAAATGCCTGCTTGTGCTTCACATAGTCTCTCCCACATTCGTGATTACATTGGGCCATGCCAGTTTGATATGCCAAGCAATGGAAATCTAGAGGAAGGACAGAGTTACGCAAAAAGCATAAATTCTGGAGTCGGGCACACATGGCTTCAAATCCTGGCTGCGTCGCTCCAGCAGTTGTTAGATTCACTTCTACAACTTCTGTGACTCTCCAGTCCGCAGTTTCCTCCTGTGTAAAATGGTGGCGATATTTTGCTGGACTGTTGTGTGGACTAAGTAAGAGGATGTATGGAAAGGCCCTAACATAATACCCAGCACAGAGTGGGAGCAACAACAACAACAAAAATTGCTGCTACTATTATTGTTACTAAGAGTAAGAAGGGCTTAAAAGGCATTGAGGTTCAATTCCTAGAGTCACATAGGGCTGCAACAGTCCTTCTCAAGATGTCAGTCTGCAGACTTGGAGTTTAGTCCCCATGTAGGAAGGGAAGAAAAACATACATAAGATAGAGTCGAATTCTGACAAGCAGACGCTAAACATAAAACAAAAGAGGAAGTGTAACGTAGTACAAAACTACGCATGTGTCCTGACAGCTCTCAAACTTAGGCTGACTTTTCCATGTGCTTTTGGTGAGTGGGAAAGGACTGTGGGGACATGGGTACCAGATATAATTTTAGATTTGCTGCGATGCCTTAATTCTTTTATTGCTTATTCAATAAATCAAAGCTACTCATTGTCCAGCTACTGTCTGCCCAGGTCACATTGTCTCCTGCCCTCCTCTGCTGTGCCTCGACTTCCCTGCAGATAACCTAGAGATAGAATACTCGCCCCCTGAGTGATAGGAGGAGTGAGTTCTTCTCTGAAGTCATGTGGAGTTTCTCAAAGGAAAGGCACTACTGGGCCAGAGGCATTATTAGCCAAAACCGTGCTGTGCTTGAGTATCTAAGGAACACGAGTTTAGACTTGTTTGCCTCATGACTCGCTGCCTCTCTCCACCCTGTTCCAGGAAAAAGAATGTTCCTTTTGGTGAATCATCACATACCTAGCTTTGAGATTTAAGAGAGTTCTTGTGAATTTTTTTTTTTTTAAGTTGTTTTAATAACCCAGCAGAAAACCTTTCTGGTTGGTTTGGAAAAGTGGTTTGAGTGTGTATGTGGCAGAGGAATGGGGAGACGATCAGAAGACAAGAAGGTCTAGAGCTGAAAGATGCTGGAGTCAGAATTAGGGAAAGACCAGATACCCTACATAAAAGGAAAATCAGAACGCCCGTGGTGCAGTCGAGTTCTGTGCATTATCACTTTCATTCTTTCAGAAAAATCACATTTTTACTGGCTCCTTTCATTAGAGACTTCCAGAAGGAAATTCTTTTCTTTATAACATGTTCTGATGTATCACCTTGACACCAGTGAGCTGATGAGCTCACAAGCCTACCCCACACAGAGTCCAGGGGTCAGGGTCAGCTAGAAGGAAAGATACCACCTGGGAAGTCAGAGGTCATGTTCAATAGAAATAATTATGTCCCTTCTGTGTACAAGCCTCTGTCTTAAGGAGTTTTCTTAGATTGTCTCCTTGAAATTTTATTGTCCAGGTACTATTTTACAGATGAGAAAACTGAGGCCAAACAAAGTTAAAACCTGGAAGTGGGAACCAGAATATTTCACCTGCCACTCATGGCTGTTAAAGGAAAAGCTGTGAAAGCCTTTCCATCTTCGTGTCTCTTGTGAAACAAACAGGATAGGAAATATTTTCCTCATTGTGGATGTCTCCTGCTGTTAATTAAAAAAATAGTAAAATAAATCTTTTCCAAAGTACCTTCACGCCTATGCCTATGATGTTTATATATACCGGGAAAGGAGGCAAAAAATGGAATAAATTGGCCAAGTGGCATGGCCTATGGTTGGCCCTTGGGGCTTTTTCTGAGCCCAAAGAAGGAACACGTGGTCTCCATCTGTTTGCTTATGAAAGCTGGTTACACAGACATACACACTGATGACTATGCAAGACAGCTTTCTTTCAGGGTCTTGGTTAAAAATGTAGGTTTAGAGAAAGCTCCTTGAAGGCAGGGACCATGTCTTGTTTAAGCAGCTGAGTTACATAGAAAGGGAAATACTTAACTCCCAAACCCTTCCTATAGGAGAATCTCTCCATCTGGCCCATCTGTAACCCCCATATAGAAGCCTGACTTTCCAGGAGCTGGGTTTCAAGTGTCTATTATGGTGCCTCTCCCAGCAGATGGAGCAGGGGAAACTAGGTCCAACCCCATTTGTATAGCAGTTTACTGGAGAGCCTATGAACTTGTAGATGAATTTCTAAAAACCATATCTGAATCCTGACGGGAAGCCAAGACATGCCTGAAGGAAAGTCTGGAACCATCCAGTAGCACCAGGCACATACCCATGGTACCCTGATAAAAGAAGAAATGTTTTCTGATCTGAATCCAAATCTACTCAGAGCCTGCAGACCCTGGGGTACCTGTGAATGTCAACATCTGGATAAAGCAGAACACACCGACGTGCCCTGGAGACACCTGGAAGAATGGATCAGATGTGAGCCTCACTCATCCCTCTCTTCCTTTTTCAGACATTACAGGTGATCTACCCCTACACCCCACAAAATGATGACGAGCTGGAGCTGGTCCCTGGGGACTTCATCTTCATGTCTCCCATGGAGCAGACTAGCACCAGCGAGGGCTGGATCTATGGCACATCCTTAACCACCGGCTGTTCCGGACTCCTGCCTGAGAACTACATTACCAAGGCTGATGAATGCAGCACTTGGATATATCATGGGTAAGCAGACTCAAAGTTCGTTGCCTGCTGCTGTTTGAAGAACATTGCAGACTTTGAGGAGGTGGCGGGTAAATGGACTTGATCCTGGACACACAGGGCAGCAGTAAGAGTAAATGGAGTCTGTGGGAAAGAAAGCTTTGTTGGTTCCAGACTTGCAGGAACCGGCTGGCTTGGGGCATGGGGAAATGAAAGGTGGACTGCTCCGTTCCACTCTGCCTGCCCCATTTGGTGTAGCTGAGTTTGTGATCGGAGACTAAACTGAGGCTGCTTTGGGGTCCATCTCTTCTGGCTGAAGTGTGGGTCAGCCCAGGGCTGAGTCTTCATGGCTTTCGGGCTTCTGTCTACTTTGTCCTGGGTCATTGCTCAGGGTAGTCTGACACTGCAGGCAGCTGGCAGATTCCCACAAGGCCAGCCAGACCAGTAGTGAGAGGATTTGCGAGAGTCAGGAGACCTAACTTACCCCTCACTGGTTAGGTGACCCTGAGCAAGTCCTCCGACTTGGCACATGAATGCCTAGATGACAGAGGCTGTGTCTAAGGAAATGGGCAATTGCCAGAACCTAAAAAAGGCACATGGCCTCCCAGTCTTCTTAGGGTGATAACTTCCACCCGTCGTTCACTACTATTTTGCCCCCGAACCAAACTGGTCCATGTTCAGAGTAGCCTGCGTTGTATGACTAGCTTTGTCCTGTTAGATAAAATAGGAGCAAAGGCACCTTCTCTTTCTTAATCTGAAAAGCTCAAAGCCAGCCAGCCCTTGCGTGGCGCACGCGGGCATCTCGCCAGGGTGTGCATGCTGGTTTGTTTTTCCTCCCTCTGGTTCTTGCCATGTGCCAACGTGGCTGAGAGCCGGAAGCTCTGAGCGCCAGCTGCATGGCGTCTGACACTGTTATTACCACCACAAAAGAGAAGCGGAGGGGCAATTTCAGTGAGTGTTTTGCCTGAAGGGAGAAAAGAAAAGAAGTTTCCCTACCCTGGTTAGCAGGAAGCAGACAAGTTACGAACCCAAAGATGGGAAAGAACACCTTCTTCCTTAATTAATAACGCCCTCTCCTGCAAACCTGGCCTCTTCCTTCCAGTCCACTCCCCACTGCCACCCACACCCCGTGAACATCCATTATTTTGTGGCACAAATTGGAAGGTCAGGCTGCCTCATGTTCCCCAAACAGTTGCTTTTTCAGAAATGTTTCTGAACATCAAGATAAACATTCAGACAAAAGGTTATTTGTCTGAAGATGCACAGCTCGCAGATCACTTTCTTAAAAGCAGGGCTACACGTGGGAAAAGAGTATGTGGGAAGCCCTGCTGCCCATTTCAGATCACTCCATCCAAAGGCACTCTTGCCCAGATTAGAGCTCAGGCTGAAACATGGATGAGCCTAAGGGACTTCACAGGGAGGTCTGTATGTCATCTCATTTTATTCTAAGAGATTACTAGTAATGTTATTTCCCTGGGAACCACGTCTGAAATTAAACTGTCAGCTTCCACAGCCAACCCTGCTGAGAGTGGGAAATAATGTTAGATGTTAGGATATCGTAATTAAGAATTTGAGTTTATATTCCAATAGTCTTGGATTCAAATCCTAACTCTCCCACTTACCAGCTGTGTGACCTTGGCCAAGTTACATTACCTCTCTGAGCCTCTGTTTGCTAATCTATAAAATGTAGATAATAATTGCACTTTCCTTACAGGGGTGTTGTGAAGACTGCAGTAAAAGGACTTAGCTTTCCAAGGACCAGTACCACGTATATAATGGCACGGAATCTAAAATAGCCATTATTAGCTTTATGATTTTTCTTTTCTTTCTAACTTGTGTTTTCCAGTCCTCTCTTACATGCTCATGAAATCAAATGTCCCTTCCACAAAAGCAATCTTATAGAAGAATTGCCCCTTCCTACTTAACCCCAGAGGTGGAAATGACTCAGGGAGGCAGAGCCCAGCTCGCTATAAGACAACTTCTCTCACCTCTAACCAAAGTTAGCCTCGAGGAGGTAGAGCCACAGTGGGTGCTCAAACAGGACTTGGCTGACTTGATGGGAAGTTACTGAAGGGATTCAAGCAACAAGTAGGGACTTGGGGCCTGTGACCCTTCCCAACCCTTGGTAACCTGTCCTCAGTTCTCTGAGTCCCTCCCAAGGACATATTTTCCTACCACCCTTACTACAGCATCTTGCCTTGTTCTGAGTATCCCTAGATGTTGTCAGTTGGTGAAGCCCCATTGTGTCCTCTGAGTTGGAGTGGGCTGGCCGGTCCTTCTGGGCTTACGCACAGTCCTGATGTGTCTGAGGGAGGTGCCAGCATCTCCCCCGTGCTTGAGAAGATGTTCTGGGTGTCAGGTTCAGCTTCCTTCCTCCGCTGCTCTCAACATAAAGCATCTGACTGTTGTCTTACTGGAACTGACAGCCCCAACTGTCTCAGAGTGAGTCAGGTCCTTTGATTATAATGACAGTTAAGAAGTGAAGGAGGTTGGCATTCTCCTTGCCGACTCAGCTGGAGGAGAGAGAGAGAGAATTCTATCAGTGTCTTCACAGCTGTAATAAGGTAGAGAAATTAAGGGACATGTACAAGAAAGATGTCAGGATGATTCCACATATCCAGACATTTCAGGCCCTGAAGCTTTGACGAATCAGACAGTGACACTGAATTTTCTTTAACTGTGTGATGTTTGGGAGGGTCTCAGTTTAAAATCAAGGAGAAGAGCCAGTCTGTTAGACTGTGTGAATAGCACAAGATTTCCTTGGTCTACAGTTGCTTAAATTTTACCATAATAAGTCTCATTTGGCTGCACATCACACTTACTGATGCAGCTTTGTTGAACTGCTGGTTCCTGGGTCCACCCCAGCTCTGCTGAATCACAGTCTGTGAGGAGTGGGGCTCAGGCATGTGCATTTTTTAAAGCTCCCCTGGTGGTTCTGATATGCACAGAAGCTTAAGCATCACTTTTTCAGGGTATAAGTCTTCTGAGACTTTTGTGTATAAGTAGGATCAGTCGATTTACAGTCAAAAAAGGATACTTTGGAGAGGAAAAGGGGTGCTAAAATTATTAAAATCATAGTTTTTTGAAAAATTGTTTACTAACAACCAGTTTGCTTTATTATATTGGTGAAGTAAAAAGTTCTTTTCAAAAATAAAATTCTAAGAATAATTCTGTGTTAAAAATAAATAATCCAGAACAGATGTTCAACTGAACAGATTGCTGGGTCAACAGGTACACATCAGGACTAGGCTGGGCAAACTGGGATGTAGGGCTACCCTAGTGGTAAAGAAGTAAGAAACCTAAAATTTAAATGCTCTCCCCTGACACTGCCCAGTAATGCAGAAGGAGATGTTCATTGGATTTGCCTAACAACCATATTTAAATGGCAATGTTTATTAGATAAAGCTTTTTGGCAGCCTTCTTAGTCAAAATAATTTAAACCTGGCATGATTTGCTGCCTCCCTTTCAGCAAGATCTCTGGGCTTCTGTAGTTACAGTGTTACACCCAGAAATGAGAGTTCTTGGCTCACAGCTCTACGCATCTGGTGAGAATGGTCTCCTCTGAAATAACTCTGTATTTAGTCATCTTGTTGGAGGTGTTTATTGAGATGGGGAGAAGGGTCTGGAGGCTGAAGAAAATAAAATAGGGGATAATGGCCATAAGGTTTCCTTGACCAACAGTGTTACCAAACCAAGTGGGCTTGCCTCCTGGTGAGTTAAGTAAGACTCTACACCAGTGGAAGTCATCTCACAAAGTAAAGTGTATTTGCAGCAAATAGGAGGCCACGAGGAATCATTTCCAAAGTCATGGTGTCCCTGAACAAAGGGAAGCAGGAACTTTTATTTTGGTTGGGGAATGAATATTCAAAAGGGAGAGGCAGGTATTCACTTGCACAGGCTCAGTTGGAGAACATGCTTCCACATAAGGAGGCCTAAGCTCCTCCTGGAGAGATCTTTGCATTAAAAATAAGGCAAAGGTCATGGGTGTAGCTCTTGTGGGGAGGCTTGGTCAGTTTCTGGATGGTTGGTGGTTATATCTCCCTTGAGTTTCTCACTTAGTCGTTTCAGGATGGTTGGTGGTTACATCTCTTTAACATACAAAGGAAAAGAAACAACTTGGAAAAACAGTTAGTTGCTTCCAAACCTACTTTTGAGTTTCTTGAGGTGCCTAGTCGGTGACAGTAGGAGCCACAGGCAAAGTGGTGGAGATAGTAAAAATCCTCCGTCTAATTTGTTTGTTCAGATGGAAACCACCATGGAAAAGATTAAAGGCAACAAAAATTGTTTGTTTCTTTTGAACCAGAAAAATAGCTGGAAACAGTGGTACAAAATTGATACCTCATTATTTGTTAACTTGCCTTTGGTGCCAGCCATGCCTGTGGCATCCTAATAAGCACAAAATCATGGGCCCCATTCCTGCCCAGGGGGATGAATACATCTGTTCCAAGTATGGAAATCCATCTGCCCCTAATTTATTAACTGCAAGACTTTAGTATGTATAAAACAAGATGTGCCTCCCCAGGAATGGGGTGCCCCCTGCTCAGCTTTCCTAACCGTTGCCCTGCCCCGGGAGTGTTTCTGCTAATTCCCACACTCCTGTTGATCCCAAGGATAATGTGCTGATGACTCTTGGCCAAAGCAGTTAACATCTTTCTTATCTTCGTCTGCAGTTCTTATTCGATCTTGAATACATCATCTTCCAACACACTCTTATTTGGTGATGGCATATTGGAGAGGCGACAGTATGAGGACCAGGGCTTGGGGGAGACGACGCCCCTCACTATCATCTGCCAGCCCACGCAGGTAAGGCTGACTATCAGGGTCACCTCCTCAACTCGAGTCAGGATCCACCTACCACCAAGGCATGGGGCCTTGCCCTTGCTGCCCCCGAAAGGTCCCCAATCTCTTGGGGAGAAAGGGCATAAGATTATAAATGATATACAAAAATTCAAGGCTAGGAAGAGTCAGATGGGTGGTACTGACAATGACTACCAGCATCTGGGTCTAGGCTGGTAAGGAAGGCTGTTCCGCAGAGAGGAGGACATATTATCTGTAAAGTAGTAATAGTTGTAGGTATTTGGTAGGCCATTGTGAAGATCAAAGGAAATAAGAAGAATAAGGCTCTTAGCATGGTACCTGGCACGTGGTGAGTGCCCAATGTATGTTAGAGTGCTCAATATATGCCAGAAAGTTTGCAGAATTGGAGGAGTGGGGAGAGTAGTTTTGAACAATATAGACAAAGGCAAGTTGAAAGTTTAAGCATGTTGAGAATCAAGAGACTAGATCACATTGGCTCGAGCCCAGGGCTTGAATTAGGGAACAGTAGAAGAGATGGGAAAGACCATGCCACATATTAACCTTGTCAAGGCAACTGGAAGCAAATGTGAAGTGCTGGCCAACGTGAAGCTGGCAGCCTTAAGGAAACTGGGAATAACTGACTCTATCAGAAAGAAAGATCCACCCAGCAGTTACAGAAACCAAAGTCATTTGGACACAGCTTTGACTAGACTTGTCTATTTCGTCACTCAGAGGCAGCGATTGTCCTCCCTGAACCATTTCTGGGAACACCAACAGGCATGTAGTCAGACAGCAGAGCCTAGATGTGATTAGAATAGGCGAAGCAGGACCTCACTGCTGGAGGAAACCATTAGACCATGTGGTCTAACCACCATACGTTAGAAATGAGGTGGACATACTGGTGACTATAAAAGCCCTCACTCCTAAAGAAGTTGATGAAGCATCTCTTTAGGGGAGGAGGATGTCCCATGAGATGCCTATCTCTACATCCTGACCAGTTTTACCTCAGAGCTGTAACTCAGGTGACCATGTATTGGCCAAATGCTACTCCTACTGACAATGGCAGCAGTAATGATAAAACCATTTTCATAACCCTTCTTGTTTTGCAAAGCACCTGCACTGTGTCTCATTTGAGCCTCAAAATAACTTGTGAGGTCTGTAGGACAGAGTCTTACAATCCCCATTTTACAGATAGGCCAACCTAAATCCAAAATAGTTAAGGGGCTTATCCAGGTCACACACTGGGGAAACTTGTTCTAGAGCTCAGCTGACCTGGCACCTGGCTCCAGGACAGGTCTACTCTCTCATGTGCGTCCCGACTAATAGCCTTTCTTTCTCTGCAGCCTCTGAGAGTCAACAGCCAACCTGGCCCTCAAAAGAGATGCCTCTTTGTGTGTCGGCACGGTGAGAGGATGGATGTTGTGTTTGGGAAGTACTGGCTATCCCAGTGCTTTGATGCCAAAGGTGAGTAGTTGGTTGGCCTGCTCAGCGTTGGCATACCTATCATGGCCTGTAGGGGGCACAGTCAAGCTACATTTATCTAGATGGAGTCATTTGTTACATGTGCTCTAGAAAATGCCTGTGATCTGTTCATTATAACTCTTTCCTGATTGTCTGGAGTGTTAGGGAAGAGATAAGTGTTCTTGTCCCTATTCTATAAACTGGGACACCAGGGACTAAGGCAGATGTCTTGCCCATAGTCATATGGCAAAGTCAGAAGCAGAGACAGGTGTCCTGATTCCATGGTTAGAGCTCCCTCTGTTAAATCACCCTGGCTCATTTTAGTTCCATTTTCATTTGAGTGGCATGTTTAAGATAGGGAGCCTTGCCTATCAGAGAATCCCACACCCCCTACCTGGTTTAGAGTGACTGGTTGTTACTTTCACTTAAAAACTATCTCTTGTCACCTTTGTCAATAGAATGGAGGAGTGGATTCCACAAGACTCTACCAAATGAAGAGCGTCAGCCTCAATATTTTCTAGAGGGATCAATTCAGTTTCTTTGGCCAAAAAAGAATGGGAGTGGAGGGGCTGTCAGGATCAGCAGTGGAAGTCCTAAGGAAAGAAGAAACTCATGTAGCCTTTGTCTGACTTTTCTTTTCCAGGCCGATACATACGCACCAACCTGAACATGCCTCACAGCTTACCTCAGCGGAGCGGTGGCTTTCGGGATTATGAGAAAGATGCTCCAATCACCGTGTTTGGATGTATGCAAGCAAGACTAGTGGGTAAGTGTCCGGGAGTAATTGCACAGCCTTTCCTGGCTACTTCTTCCCAAGACTGGCTCCAGTGGGTATGCCAGGACACTTCCTAGGGGTTTCTGTAACTTTCCTACAAGTAGTATATTTCCTCAATTCAGAGGAATTTATTACATAACTATTAAGTTCAGGACACTGTGCTTGGCACTTGTTCATTCACCAAAATACGCCCCTGTTGAGGGGCGTAAGGTCCAGTGATGGGGCAAGGTCAGGCTTGGTGTGGCAGACAGGTCAGCTTCTAGCACAAGGGTGAGGAGGAGGGAATCCTCCTCCAGGAGTGGCCAAATGTATAGAGGCCAATTGATCCTGTGAAAAGGCTCAGTTCTTTACAGGGCTATTCCATACCTGCCATGTGGAGACAGCAGCTTTGTTCTGTTCAAGCATTTAACACATACTGATTGATCACTTACTTTGTGCAAGGGACTGTGCTAGGTGTGCGGGTTCCAAGCATGAATCCCCACCCTCAGGGAAACAAATGTATAAGTGGATAAACATCATACAGTATGATAGACTCAAGAAGAGCTATGTAGGGAGTATTATGGGAGCACAAAAAAGACACATAAGAGGAGAAGAGAGGTAATCTGAGACCTGAAGTAGAAGTCAGCTGGGCAAAGAGGGAGCAGGAGGGCGGGAAGGGCATTCTCAGTGGGAAAAACAACAGAGTCATAGACATGAGAAGCAGCATCAAGAGTATGGAGGAAACAAGCTGTCTTGTTTCTAGAGCATAGATGTGAGCAGGGCGAGAGATGAGGCAGTGAGATGGATAAAGACAAGTTCGCGGAAGACCTTGGCCACCATATTAAGGTATTTGGACTTTATCCCGTAGAGAAAAGAAGTGTATTCCATGAGGAAAACATTGAAGTATCAGGTGTTGGGATTTACCTCTGGTGTCCAAGAATATAACAAGTTGGGATTTTGTTTAGCACAGGATAAAATTAAAACAAGACCTCATTTTCATAATATAAACCCTCTCACTTTTATCACAAACTTGAAATCAGAGCATTATCGTGTTTCTAGGTCTCTCCTAAGTGGACATGTTACTGCTTCTTAGCACCAAAGAGAAGGAAAGAAAAAGACAAAAAAGAGGTCTTTCATTTGGTTCCTTCACAGAAGTGCTGATCAGGGGATTTGTTGGAAACAAGGCAGAAACTGCTGGCCCTGTGTGAGCCCCCACTGAAAAGAGAGGTTTGCAGGCCTGCCGGGTGCCCTCTCCCACATTGAGGGTCAAGCTGAGGCTGAGTAAATCCATTAGATTGACTCCTCTTTGGTTTTCTTTGCAGGTGAAGCCTTATTAGAGAGCAACACCATTATTGACCACATCTATTGCTCCCCATCCCTGCGCTGCGTTCAGACTGCATACAACATTTTGAAAGGTAAGATTTGATCAAGGTCAACTAGTCCATCCCTCTGTCTCTAGGCAGCCCCATACCTAAATTACCCTAGACTCGTGGGACATTAGCCAATTGAAGGCTTCAAATTTGGAATTTTTAGCAATGATTCTTTCAGAAGATGTCTTTGCAAAAGTCCCAAAATCATATTCTGGCAGCATAAGCGAGATGAAAGGAAGTATACAAATAATTTTTGTCTTGAAAATGTAAAGCTCTCTTGGATGAATTTAGGCTTGTAAAATATTGTCGTCTGGCAATAATTTAGAGTCTGCAGAGTGTGATCCTCTTTTTGCACTGAAACAGTGAAATCGTTTCCTCCCACTCTGCTCTGCTTTGCCTCTTGTTACAGCAGCAGTGGTGCTCCTAGGTGTCTGTAAATTTTAATCATCCTTGTTTCTTTAGTTAATTGGAAAGACTTTAAAAGCACCTTGTCATAAAGAGACTCAACTTTCACCCTGAAATCCTTGGAAGCTTGAATACATCTCCATTGTCATTTCACTGGAAGGAAAACTAGAAGAAATAGTTTGGACTGTTTACGTATACCAAACAAACGCATGAGCCAGAAAGAGCCAAGCCAGCAGGGGATTTACACTGTATTTGAGACTTGTATTCGTTAAGCTTGAGTAAACCAGATGCATTTGTGTATTAAAAGGCATTATGCATTAAATTTGCACAGAAAAACTGGGCTAAAGGCAGTGTAAAGAGAGTTAAACAGGGCCATTCCTACTCTGAGGGTAATTACACGATGATAAAACACAGGACTTGTGCGGTGGCACTTGTAAATATCCAACACTGGATTTTCTGATAGAGAAAGTGAATAATTTACATGATATTCAAATACGACGTAAGCTATTGTAGAGTAGTGGATGCTAAGAGAATTTCTGAAGTTTCTTGGTAAGGTGATCTTGAAACTTACTTTAGAAAAAGGAATTATAATAGTCACAGAACTGTATAAATTGGATGGGTAATGACCAGTGTTGTTTTTCCTTAAATCAGATACCACATAAAGCCAGCATACATCCTGGTGCTATGGCCAGAGTATTAAACTTGTGTGTTTGGAACACACAAAAATTAAAAAATCCTGTCCAAACCCACATGCTTCCACTTTCTTTTAGCTATATATAGCATCTAGTAGGAAAGAGAGTAGAAGATTTACCAGAATTTTTATAACAATTTGGCCTCTAACTTACTTTTCCACTGAGAACATCGTGGTGTTTCTTTCATCTTCATTTTATTTTACCTCTAAGGTTTACAGCAAGAAAATCACTTGAAGATCCGTGTAGAGCCTGGCTTATTTGAGTGGACAAAATGGGTTGCTGGGAACACATTACCTGCGTGGATACCTCCATCAGAGTTAGCTGCAGCCAACCTGGGTGTTGATACAACCTACAGGTAACTCTGAACCCGCTGTGTCCTGAGGCCCGTGTAGAAGTGCTTTTCTACACCAGGCCAGGCTGATTAAGGAGATGAAGGACCAGATGTAGCCCCCAGACAATTGCTTATATTGGTGGAAATCAAGCTATGATTTGAAAAGCCACAACAGGAGAAAGCCAGCATTCCCTTATAGTTAGCATTAGTGTAGATTACATCCGCCCCACACACATTGGAACTTCCTGACTTTATTATATCTCTTTCAGTGAATAATAAAACCAGTTTTCATTCCAGGAGCATGTACCAGCTAATGATGGTACAGTTCCAGAAGCTTGTGGGGAGATAAGGGAAATGACGCTGTCTTGCCTTGGATTGTCATTTGTAATTTTTCAAAGCATTTTTAATTCTCTGTCTTCATTTATTATTGCCATAACCCCAAAATGTAGGCAAGCCACTTTTATATATAAGAGAGTATAAGTGGTTTGCCTAAAGTTATACATTTAGTGGCCACACATGACAATAACAACAACAACAACTAACCTTTCTTGCTCATTTTCTGCATGTCAAGCACTGAGTAATCTGCTTTATGGTCTGCTTGTTCCTAGTCCTTTGCTTTTTCCATGAGACCAGACTGTCTGTGCTGGGGTTAAAAGCAGTGCTTGAAGATGGCTCACAGGTCAATAATCCACATGTAAACAATTAAGTAGTGACCAATAATACTATAGTTACGTTAACTATCAAAAATCCACTCAGGAGCCAGCCCTGGTGGTCTAGTGGTTAAGATTCTGTGCTCTCACGACCGTGGCCCGGGTTCATTTCCCGATCGTGGAACCAGACCACTCGTCTGTCAGTTGTCATACTGTGGCAGCGGCTCACGCAGAGAACTAAGCTAACAACTAGGATACACAACCATGCACTGAAGTTTTAAAAAAAAATCCACTCAGGCATTTGTAAAATATCTTTGAGGAGGGACAGCTATTCACAACCATTATAGTGGGGGATTAAGTTTATATATCTTAGGGCAGAATTTGGAACAAGTGACCAAAATAAGCAGAAATTTTTTCCTTGGTATCCCTTAACCTTTCATTTCAAATACCTACCCAAACCACAAATGAAGCAATGTGAGTTTCTGGGTAAAGTAGAAGAAAATATCTCTTTTTTCCATGCTCATTTTCCTGCTCTGCAAATAAGACCTCAGATAATCCCATAAGTTACTTGTGTGCTACTTCTTCTTGCTTAAAGGAATTAGCATTCCTCAAAAATAAAATTAAATCAATCGGATCCCTTACTAATATACTTTACATTTTGTCCTATCCGCTCTGTGGCCACTGTTTTTCTGTTCTTTGGTGGAAACAGCAATAAATTGTTGTCCCCATGCCAACAGCCGTCATCCCTCTGGCCTGGAAGGAGGGTGAGCTGCTGCCAACATTGGTGAAATGAATTTTCTCACTCATCACCGAGCCCCTCCCAGGCCAATCTGGGCCAACTGTGTCTTCAGTTTCCCACTTCACTGCATCCTGCAATTCTTCCCAAGCTGATTTACAAAGGTCCCCAGAATTATTCCGTCTGAGCCTTTCAGTGCACACGCAGACACACTCCATCAGTAGGACAAGCAGAAGGATGAATGCCAGGAGCCTAGGGGTCAGGACATAGTCCTTATTCTAGATTTTCTCTTCCTCTACAGAAAATCAAAATTCAATTCAACCATTTTGTATTTGAGGGGGAAGAAAAGATTAAGCCTCTAATTCTATAAATCAATTGTGAAAGTCAACGATAAAGCAGGTGTGAGGCACAAGCCCTAGAGTTAAATTACCTCTGAAATTAATTATGCTGAGTGAGCGGGCCTCTTGAAGCAAGTAGTGGTACCCAAGTGATTCAAGAAACATGGTGATGGGCAGAGGAGCAAAGACTGATAACCAGGACACTGTAAGTCAAGCTAGCACACTTAAAGAGCCCTGCCACCTTGGAACAAGAGGGAGGCTGGACTGGAAGCCAGGTTAAGGGAAACTAACCAGGCTGGTGACTAATATCCAAACCTCATCCACAGGCAGCAAGACTCAGCCTGGGGGCTGGGTGTAGAAAGCAGCGGGAGTGTTAGGGAGCTGGGCTGGAAGGAGCAAGGGAGAAAAAACAAAATACATACCAGTTGGATGTGGCTTCAGAACAGGGTCCTGGCTGGGGGTGGTAGGAGAATGGGGTGGGGGTGCGTGGATCTGGAGGGTTAGAGGGGCAACAAATCAAACTTTGGTGTGGGGCTCAAGGCAGAAGCCTGCTGTACAGCCTGGACCAAAGCAGGGTGGGGAGCAGAGAGTGTACCGGGAGAAGACTGTCCCAGGGATGCTATCCGAGCACCCAGAGCACTGGGTTCTGGGTCTGGTTGGTGGTTGGAGGCCCTCCTGACTCTGAGTACTGCACAGGGGTCCTGCAGGTGTGGCTAGAAGCATGATGCATGCTGCTGAGAGGGGTGAGAAGGCTTTGACTCTGTCCCCTCCCCGTCAGGACTGGTTCAAACACAGAGAAGCCATCCATAGGTTCAGCTTCAAGCCAAGAACTGCCAAAAGCAAGAACTGACCAGGAAGAACTGAATCCCAGAATCTACCTGCTCTTCACTTACACAAATCTCGTATGTTACAATGTGGTCTCATCCTTGAAATGACTCCCTGGGCCAAAAAAGGCTAAAAAGAGGCCTTTTGTCATAGTGAGTGTGGGGCTCCTGGGTGAGCAGGTGACATAAGTGGTAATGGAACTGGATGAGAGGTGGGGGTGAGGAGGAAGAGTCTGCTCCAGAACAAGGTACATCCCTCGCAGTGGTGATTCATCTCTCTCCCTATGCCCCAGGGTGCTGTGAGATTCAGAAGGTTGTTTCCTAGGAGCAGTATGCTTACTGAGAGATTGTTATATAGATGAGGGCAGATTTCCTTCAAGTGGAACGGCATCCTTCCTCTCTGGAAAGTAAACCCAAGTGCACAGGAGGGCAGCCTTGAGGAGGATGCTGTCAAAAGCTGTTCAAAGTAGAGGATAAGGTTACAGGCATTGATCTCAGACCCAAGGTCAAATCGAGGCTCTAAGAGTTGCTCACATGTAAGTATAGGCAAGTCATCTGTAGCCTTTCCAAACCTCAGTTTTATCATTTATAAACTCAGGATTTGCAAAAGGGTTGCTAGAAGGGCTATATTCAAAGAATGCAAGTAGAGCGCTTTGCACAGAGCCTAACACATGGGAGCCTCTCAGTAAATCTTTGCAGTGGTAGCAGCAGCAGTCATGTATTCTGATCAAGATGCCATGTGAATTCACTTTGAGAAGTCATTACCACCTCCAGCCACCATGCAACAAACACCAACAATGAAATGACATAGTTATACTCAAAAATAAGATAAACATCTCATAGACCAGAAACTCTAAATAGTAAAAAGAGGTGGAAGCAGGCAGAAGTGACTGGGACTGAAGATGTGCAGGGTCACCAGGATGGGAGGGCCCCGCTTTGATCATCCTCTTATATGCCTTTGTACATAGTGTCATAATTATCATTTACATCAACAGCCTACTCACTTCAACCACACACTGAGAGCTCCTCAAGCACAGAAATTGGGCTCTCTTTTCATCTTTATGTTCCCTGGGCTCCTCCTAGTGCCAGGTGTGTGGTCTGTGTTCAAAATAGGAGAGAAAGAAAAGGAAAAGACTGGTGAAGATTTTATAAGCTCACATTTCCAGTGGACCTAACATCTGCTTTTAAAACCTATCCTTACAATTCCCCAACTCATTTTATGAGGCCAGCATTACCCTGACACCAAAGCCAGATAAGGACACTACAAGAAAAGAGAACTACAGACCAATATTTCTGATGAATATAGATGCAAAAATTCTCAACAAAATATTAGCAGATTGAATTCAACAGCACATTAAAAGGATCATACACCATGAGCAAGTGGGATTATCCCCTAGATGCAAGGATGATTCAACATATGAAATCAATAAATGTGATAGACCACATTAGTAGAATGAAAGATAAAAATCATATGATCATCTCAATATAGATGAGAAAAAGCATTTGACAAAATACTCCATCATTTCATGATGAAAACACTCAATAAAATGGGTATAGAAGGGAAGTACTTCAACATATTAAAGGCCATATATGACAAGCCCATAGCTAACATCATACTCAATGGTGAAAGGTTGAAAACTTTTCCTCTAAGATCGGGAATAAGACAAGGATGCCCACTCTCACCACTCCTATTCAACATAGTGCTGGAAGTCCTAGCCAGAGAAATCAGGCAAGAAAAAGAAATAAAAGACATCCAAATTGGAAAGGAAGCAGTAAAATTGTTTTTGTTTGTAGATCATATGATCTTATATGTAGAAAATCCTAAAAACTCCACCGTAGAACTGTCAGAACTAATCAATAAATTCAGTCAAATTGCAGGATACAAAATCAACACACAGAAATCAGTTGTGTTTCTGTATACTAACAACAACACATCTGAAAAAGAAATAAAACAGTCTCATTCACAATAGCATCAAAAACAGTAAAATACTTAGGAATAAATTTAACCAAGGAGGTGAAAAATCTGTACACTGAACACTGATGAAAGAAATTGAAGAAGATACAAACAAATGGAAAGATATCCCATACTCATGGATTGGAGGAATTAATATTGTTAAAATGTCCATACTACCCAAAGCCATCTATAGATTAAACTCCCCATCAAAATTCCAACGGTGTTTTTCACAGAAATAAAAAAAAATTCCCAAAATTTCTATGAAACCACAAAAGATCCTGAATAGCCAAAGTGAACCTGACAAAGAACAACAAAGCTGGAGGCATTATGCTTCCTGATTTCAAACTATACTACAAAGCTATAGTAATCAAAACAGTATGGCACTGGCATAAAAACAGATACATCGACTGATGGAACAGAATGGAGAACCCAGAAATAAACCCTCGAATATACAGTCAACTAATAAAAGACAAGAGAGCCAAGAATACTCAACGGGGAAAGGATAGTCTCCTCAATAAATGGTGTTGGGAAAGCGGGATAACCACATGCAGAAGAATGAAATTGGACCCCTATCTTACACCACTCACAAAAATTAACTCAAAATGGATTAAAGACTTAAACATAAGAGCTTAAACCATAAAACTCCTAGATGAAAACATACAGAAAAAGCTCCTTGACATTGGTCTTGGCAACAATTTTTTGAATATGACACTAAAGTACAAGTAACAAAAGACAGAATTAACAAGTGGACTACATCAAACTAAAAAGTTTCTGCACAGGAAAAGAAACAATCAACAAAATGAAAAGGCAACATACAGAATAGGAGAAAATATTTGCAAGTCATATATCTGATAAGGGGTTAATATCCAAAATATATGAAGAATTCATACAACTCAATAGTAAAAAAAAAAAAAATCCAATTAAAAATGGGCAGAGGAACTGAGTAGATATTTTTCCAAAGAAGACATACAGATGATCAACAAGTACATGAAAAGATGCTCACCATCACTGATCATCAAGGAAATGCAAATCAAAACCACAACGAGATATCGCCTCACACCGTTTAGAATGGCTATTATCAAAAAGACAACAGATAAGTGTTGTCGAGGATGTGGAGAAAAGGGAACCCTTGTACAGTGTTGGTGGGAATGTAAATTGGTGCAGTCGCTATAGAAAACAGTATGCAATTTCCTCAAAAACTTAAAAATTGAACTACCATATGATGCAGCAATCCCACTTCCAGGTATATATCCAAAGGAAATGAAAACAGGATCTAGAAGAGATATCTGCACATAATATCACTTAATGTGGAATCTAAAAAAGCTGAACTCAGAGAAACAGACAGTAGAGTGGTGGTTACCAGGGACTGGGGGGTGGGGTAAATGGGGAGATGTTGGTCAAAGGGTACCAACTTCCATTTATAAAATGAATAAGTTCTGGGGATTGATTTGATATACTTACGTATGTACAGCATAGTGATTATAGTTAATAATACTGCATTATGTATCAAGTACTATATACTTGAAAGTTGCTAAGAGAGTAGATCTTAAATGTTCTCACCACAAAAAAGAAATGGAAATTATGTGACGTGACGGAGGTGTTAGCTAACGCTATGGTGGTAATCATTTTGCAATATATCAGCATATCAAATCAGTATGCTGTACACCTTAAACTTCCACAGTGTTATATGTCAGTTATATCCCAATAAAGCTGGAAAAAATTAAAAAATAAATAAAACCTGTCCTTTCAGCTTATCGTGTATCAGGCTACTGAAGAGAGGCTTGGGAAATCTCTGGTGATCCAGATAGATAAAGAGATCTAACCTCTGCTCTCTATCAGCTTTGTGACCTTGGACTGATGGTCGGTAAAATTAGTCAAACTGCTTACAAGTTATCCTGCAAGTGAAACCTGCACTGAATGTTTCATTTTTCAGCTGCTCACTCTGACACCATACACACATAGCCTTTATTTCTGTACATTCTCTACATTTCAGCCTCACTTCTATATAGTGGAAATACTCTTTCCTGTACCTCTATCCTTTCTAGGGAAATGGATAAACAGAAACATGGGAACTTTAGAAAGGTCTTAAAATAAACGTTTAGAGTAATATAATTGCTTTATCTTGAAATCAAAATGTTTTCATTGCCTTTGTTCATTTTTCTATTACAGACCTCACATTCCAGTCAGCAAATTAGTGGTCTCAGAATCCTATGACACTTATATCAGTAGAAGTTTCCAAGTAACAAAAGAAATAATAAGTGAATGTAAGAGTAAAGGTAGGTGGTGTTATTTTGGACTCCATATTTAACCATGTGATCATTTCTCCATCATGGTTAATAGGCTATGCAAGATGTTTCACCTTGCTTTGGCAAACTTGCTTAACAGCAAAGAAAAATATTTCCAGACTCGCTTATAGATACTTTCATGTTAAATTTGTAATATTCTCTTGAATACCTAAAATGGTAGATATTCCATGGGAATACACCAGACTTAGTTACTGTACAAAATAACTTAGAATTCTGCATTACAGCTATTTATTTTGCACTCTGTGAAGGAGGTTCCTTACTACAATTTCCAGAAGTTCTTTAGCATAACACTGTTTGCCTATAATTTGATCCAGGAGCAGGGACACCCACACACAAACACACCTACCATCACTGTTACCACCAAGAGCAGTCTTCTATAAGACTCAAATCTGTCTGATATTGAATTTTATAAACATTGAACTCAAATATTTAATGACATGAGGCTGCCTTAACAGCACAAAGCATTTTCAAAATATTGCGTGGCGAAATTGTCTCCTTCTTGAGAATGTTTGCTCTTCCCCGGAACAGTTGGCTTCCAGTATTTACAAAGTTTACATATGCCTTCATAGAAACGGTCTTTCTTGCTTTTCCCCCCCAGGAAATAACATCCTGATTGTGGCCCACGCATCTTCCCTTGAAGCGTGCACCTGCCAACTTCAGGGCCTGTCACCTCAAAACTCCAAGGACTTTGTACAGATGGTCCGAAAGGTAATTCCTACTTGCGTGTCAGGGGCCTGTGGGCCCCGCAGTTTTAGAACAGTTCAGTGACTGGCTGATAGCTAAATTCTCTGAAGCTAAATTCTCTGAAGCACGTGTTTACTCTGAGCTAGGAAGATGCATTTATTGATTCATTCAACCAAGGTGTATTGAGCGGTACTCTGTGTAAGAGAGTTTATTAGGCCTTGTGTAAGAAAAAAAGATGTGTTTGAGCTAGTTCTAGTTTCTAAAAGCTAAAATTTAGGAAGTAGCTAAGAATTAAAAGTGACCATGGGTTGGATGAAGACAGGTGAGAAGGCCAAAACACAGCATCTGACAGCTCAGCTAGAAGCGGGGTCTTAGCTTGTAGGCCAAAGGAAGCAGCCTGACTTAACTGATCAGGCTGAAAGGCAAACCCAGGAACAGGCAGCGAGACAGAAAACTCATGAGGCTGACCGACACATCTGGATTCTTCCGTCTGGGGCCTGTGGAAGCGGTTTTCCCATCAGCCGCCCTCCCACACACTTCCCTTCAGGCTGACTTATATGCTTCCTTTATCTGCCCCCAGAGAATCTCGATCAAACTCAATTGCAATTCCTTTCTCCTTTTTTAAAAGCTTATTTATGCGTCTGTCCTTCCCATTACTCTGTAAGCTGCTTGAGGGCAGAGATTATTGTCTTGTGTATAAATGCAGCTCAGGACACACACACAAAAATAAGTTTTGAAATGCCACGACGACTGAAGGTAGGCAGGGCACAGCTTCAGCTTTGAATGTTCTAGATACACATGCAGGAAAAAAAAAAGATAAAGCTGAGTGAAACAAATTTTTAAAAATTGAATGTTTCCCACCATCCAAGTATAATTTCAGAAATGTTTGAGCTGCACTTTCAGCTTGACTTGCAATTAAGAATTAACTCCCAGCATCTTAGCTTTATATATTATCGTCCTCTTTTCTCCCATGCTATTAAGAAGCACTCTATAAACGATCACTTAATTGCACTAGGGAAGCTCCCCATTTAATGAATCCTGATGATTCCTCTTGCAATGTAAATACTCTTCCCTCTAATTTATCAGTTTTATCCATTTTATTTTCTCTATTGATTTTGGGAGAAGATGCATGTCTACAAAAGCTCCTGTTAATTCCTATGAATAGTCCTTATTCTCAAGAGCCATCTGAAGATCTTTGTGTCTAGATAAATGTTAAAGCATTAAACCTTTGTTTTCTGTTTTCCCTTTTATTGCTACTCTTACTTCAGATCCCATATTTGGGGTTTTGTTCCTGTGAAGAACTAGGAGAAACTGGAATATGGCAGCTGACAGATCCACCCATCCTTCCTCTTACTCATGGACCAACTGGGGGCTTCAACTGGAGAGAGACCTTGCTACAAGAATAAACCACACAGTGAACGAGAAGAGAAGGCTCTAGAAAGCCTTTAGGAGAAGTGTCTTTTTGCGTGTTTAGTAACAGTGAAAAAATCTGCACCACCTTCTAAGCAGACAGCTCAGAATAATTCAGCATATTTTCTTTCATGCTTTAAAGTTCTTATGATGAGACTGTGTGAATGAGAGAAAGACCTGATTCAGGGATAAAATTCATTCTCTCTGGACTCTTAACAAGGCTTTCGAGAATTGTCATCCTAAATCGAGGCACCTGCTACAGCAGACAATGGGTTCTTCCTTCTGTCTATGCATGGCGAAGGAGCCTGAGTCCTCCCAAAGGGAGCTGCCAGCCCATTCTGAGGAAGGATGAAGAGGAAGGAGCATGTCCAGAATCCAGCTGGGGGGACACTGAGCTGCCAGTTTGGTGATGAGATTTTTTTTTGAACTCCATGTTCCAGTTAGGCAAAGCCAAACTGAAGAATTCTTTTAAGGTTACTAGAAAACACGCCCCCACAGAGAGTTGTTCTTAGGGTACACATCAAATTCTACCCTCAACATGGCACGGGCCACCAGTGCTGCTGGCTCAAGAGGCCAGCTTGAAGACGCTGGCGTTTACCCTGGTACCGCCACATTTTCTCTAGAGCAGCTGGCTACAGCTTTTTGCTACAGCCCTTCCCCCTTGCTTCTATGCGTGAGATGGGGAGACAAAGCACTTTCGGATACTCAGGAGGAAGATAAATGTGTGAAGTATGCAGTTGTAGGTGCAAAGAATTTGCAAAATAGAAAGTGACTTGGAATTATATGTGTTGTAGCCTAGTGAGCCACAGCACTTCTAAATCACCATGGTTTGCTTGTCTTTGCCCCCAGAGTCTAGGCTATGTTAACTGGTTAAGGATGTTGACATTTTGAAAGGATGTATGTTAGATACCTTATTTGAGTCAGCAAGGAGCTCCTTCTTGTGCAGTATGGACATCTTTACAAACCATACCAAGGGTCAGGTCATTGTACACTTACAGTACATGTCAGTCATCACAGAACACCTACAATGCATCAGTTACACCAGGGATGTATAAGGACGTCAGGGAACTAATTTAAATGAGGACAGTCACGACTGCACTGCTACTTGTGCTGTCGTTTTTGTGTGTTTGTTTTTCTATGATAATTTAAAATATGTAGGTAGGGCTACTTAAGGAAAGTTGGGAGAGCTACATCCTGTGGTTTCTTAGCACACCTGCTTCCTGAGTTTAGAGGGAGTTTATTTAAAAGAAAAATAAATGACAATCAAACCGAAAACATCAGTTATCAATGTCTATTTAATTGTGTGACTAGCTGACTATTGACAGCAGCAGACAATGGTCTGGTGTGGTAGAGTTCATTATGCAGACTATGTGTGCAAAATGAAATCCCAGCCATTTAAAGGGAACACTGGTATAAAACAAATCAATATACATCGTAGCATTGAGTACGCTTCAAAACCCAAATACATAAAACATATGGCATATAAAAACAGATGTATGCTCCTATTTGAAACTGGAATTTGATGATCCCTGAAAAGAAGAGGAAGTGAAAGGATGCTGGCTATGTATGTTAATCAGCAAGAAGATGATAGTTGGGTTTTTTTTAAGACACTTAAAGAAATATGTCACAAATTTTACAATTTTAAGAATCAAACATTGATTTCTTCTAGCATTGCACACTGATCCAACTTCTGGGTAGAGAAATAACTCTGTGCTGACATCATTGATTAATATAAATGCTTTAATCTTAAAATGGGGGAAATATTCCCATTAAAGGTTTTAAGAGAAAAGTCACATTACAGCTAATGTAATGTCTCTGCCATTCATTCTTTTATCTGTAATGAAGTGAATCCACTCTTCAGTCAGATCTATAATGTTTATTAGATTCTCCACAAATTTTCATGGACTTTCAATGCTCAGAATAATGCTTGAACACCTCTCACCCGATTTTCTTGAAAACTGTAGCAGTGTGTTCTGGCCAGAGCCTGCTCTTGTACAGAAACAAGTTCAAATAGGTTAGCCTCTCCCTCCCTTTCAGGTGTCTTAGTCCTATGATGAGCGGAGAGCTGTAACTTAGCTGGGCTACAATCCATTGTCCTTAGTCCAATATGGACAGAGCCATAGGCTATTGTCTACATGAGCAAAAGGAGGCAGAGATCTGAAATAATTTTCTGAATAATTTAGGTAGAAAATCCTGAGTAAAAGAAACAGTTTATTCCTCTGCTTTAATTATCTAGATTGTCTATCAAAATGGCCTGAATAATCTGAATTCACGTTTAATTCTCTTTTCACCTGTTTAAAAACTAAACTTGGACTCCAACTGAGAAAATTATTTGGAAATCATGTTGAATCTATGTGTCATAAAAGGAACAGACAACTGTATTACATGATTTCATAGTCACCCAAAAATTCTAGGTTGATATTACAACCTGAAGTTCAGGCTGGTTGTTTTTGATCTGAGGCTGGTGCTTATTAAGAACAAATGTTGGAGGGGAGGGGGACGGTGAGAAAGGAGGAAAGAAGGAAGGAAATGCCAGATAAGAACCAAACGGTTTCTTGTAGAGAGGAATTTTTTTTTAATGGCGAAAATTATCTGAAATAAACTGCGATGAAATTAACTAAAGAATTTAATCTGGGATTGAAAGTCTGAAAGTTCGCTGCTTCTGCAAGTGCCAGTCAGCTAACGCCCCAGTATTATTCGTAGATAGGACTTTGGTTGCAGTGATTTTAAAATGTCACATCTATTCCTCTGCAGACTAGAATAATTGGCACATTTTAATGCACAAGCTGGGGGTTTCATTTTCCCAGGCTCTCTTCTCCATCACTGCATTGGTAGCTAGGAGCTTACTGCTTCACCCCAGTATGGAGTTCAGAAGACAGTGTTTTCCATTACATTTAGATTCACAGAATCTAAATGGCTGATTAAATGGCCATCTGATGGCTGAAAGAGGGGGGTATTTTTCACCCTATAGTGAAAGGCTTGGAGGGGTTTCTACTTTTTATTTTGAATTATACTTTAACCAAAGAATTATTTTACAATAACCTTATATTTGAAAGATGATTTTGCAAAAAATAAAAATAAAAAATAAAAAATACTTCGGGAGTGATGTCAGTTTGGTAAATCATTGTTGATAATTTTCTTGCATTTTAGGCTGATGTGGTCATTGTTCTGTCAGTGGTATTGGGGATGCACACAGATTGTCATCCAGTTGTGCTTAGCACTACCATCAATGTATCTTTTCCACTCAACTCGCTATGTTCGTATTAAATGAAGTCTTTTATTTCAATTACCTAGTGTCGTTGGGAACTAATTGAAGAGCTACAGTAAAGAGAACTTCCTATCTCATTTCCTTTGCAGAAAGGTGTCCCTGTGTAGCAAAAAGGGAGGCATTCCTCCAAAACCTAGGCACTCTGCAACTCCAGTGTTTAATTTGCAAGCAGTGATGAATCGCTCTTTTGAATTTACTCTAAGTGATGCGTGTGTTAGAATACAGATGAACCGCCTTTAATTTTCACAGGCACAATCATAACTGTACTGTGTCTGCATGAACTCTCAGATAATGAGGCGCAGGGTTATTTGCATTTAAATTGTAGTCCCGCACACGTGTGAGAAGGAAGAGGCGTTAGTCGGGCTGCCTTGCTAGGAGGGATGAATCTGAGGGAGGAGGGTGGGGTAAAGAGCGATGTTAACATCTATTTAGGTTAATGTTCACTTTACAAAGGTGAGGGGGGATATTTTGTTAGGTGAGGGCAGCTGCTTTTCATGTTTAAACATAGGATTAAAATTGGATTTGCTTCTCTTTAATAGTTCAAAATATTGAATTTTCCTAGGAAAGTGACTAGCTATAACAAAAATTCAAGGGAGGGAAAAAAAATTGCCTCTAAATACAGAGGAAATAACTTGATTTTTAAATGCATATAATACTATGTTCAGTGTATGTAGGTTTAAAATTATAGTGATGAGTAGTCAAACCTAATATACAATCAGTTCTCACAAATGTTTTACACGGTACCCATTAGCTGCCATTACTCACACAAAAATTCAGAACTTTTGTAGCTGTTGGACTATTCTTGGACTCTGTGCAGGATACGTATGTATAAGGGGAGATGTGCACTGGTTTTTTCTTTGATTGCCACTCAAGATGGGAACACCATCCTGAAGCATTTTGATTATGCACAGACCATTCTAAACCTGCTGTTTGGGGAGGTATATTGGTTTCTTTCTCATTTATAAGGCTATTGTATCATTTTTTTCCTATGTGATTTAGGTGTATTTATTTGGATAAAAATGTTTGTAATTATAAAAAAGAAAACCACACCTAATTGTATTGCCAAATTTCTTGTAAACTACCTGTGGCATTTGTGTTTTCCTTGCTGTGTGCTCTCCCTCTAGACACAGCTCTGGCACCATTGTAATTAGTTCATTCCATTCCATGAGCATCTCTGTTTAAGTGGTTCGTAGATGATTTAATAAAGAGGAACTGTGTCCTCAGTCGATCCAGAGTGATCTCATATTAAATTCTGAGTGGTCTCTATTCCTACCATGTTTTTAGATGTGATTATGGTCATTATTATTTTGTGAATATCCATTAAGCGTGTGATTCTTCACTTGCCAGAGGGCCACTTGCTGCTGATGGAAATGGGAGGATGCTCTAGCAGTACTGTGGGTCTCGGGTCCCTTCTGGTCAGGCGTCTCTGAGTCATCCAGGCTGGATAGGTGAAAACCCACCCAGGAGGGAAAACGAAAGCTCCAAAATGCTTGCACTGCCGCATGTGCAAGCCTTCGTCCCTCACCACTACCCACCTGAAGGAGGTGCATAGAGTAAGAATTTGGGTAAGAGAGGGAAAATCCAGCTCAAACTAGGTTCCACACTACTAAAAGCCATAGACCCCATTTTTGAAGTAATGATGTGTTAAGTTAATAGATTTTTTTAAAAGCCATGTATGCAAATAAATGTATGCCCAGGACATGAATGCAGATTTTCATTGACACAACTAGCTACTACCTTGGCAGGGTTTAATTTCTGAGGACACATAACAGCTAATGCTCATATCTGACAAAAGACCAAGCTATGTTTAGCCTTATGGCTGGTTCTCAGCTGTTCTCTGCTTGACAGATGCCCAAACTCATTTTGCCCTTTTGTGATATACGTGAAGTCTGCTTGCATAACCAGAGAACATGAATCAGGGTGCTTTGAATTTAAGCTGAAATCAGCAAAATGTCTTTTTTTTGGAAGTTGAGGAGCAACAGTCTTCCTCCTAAAGAAACAATGCTTCATTTTGCCAGAAATAAACGTGTAAAACCCAGAAGGCTTGCTCCTGGCCACAAAAAGATGCCAAGGTTTATGTAGCTGCTAGTTGCCACTGTGGTGATGGGGCAATCCGGAAAGTCTGTGTATCACTGGAGAAGAACGTCGGGTTGTGCCAGAGAAGAAGCCCTCATTCCAGAGCCAGATAGAGCTAATAGGTCATGATCCCGGCTCAGCTGCTTCCTAGATCGCGTAAACTCATTTCACCAATAAAATGGGCACGTATGATTCTTTATAGCATAGTTGTATCAAATGGGGTAATATCAAATGAATATAAAACACCTAATACTACATTCTGATAATAAGAAGATACTGCATGCTAACAAATAAATAATTGCTTTTGCTAAGGCCGAGATCAAATCACACAGTCTAGCCACTCCTCTCGTCTATGGGGAATATCAGGGACAAAGAATAAAAAGGGCCTCATTCATCCTAGTATTACTTTACTATCCTCCACATAAGTTAGCTTACGGAGTAAGAGGAGAATGGTAAAAGTGGCTATGTTGGCTGAATTCTGTGGTTTGTCTAAGAGGCTGCCTTCATGATGTACCACCTTCCCCTTGTATAACTCTTTATAGTTTTAAAAACACATTCTCATTTGATCCTCATAACAATTTTACAAGGTAAGGAGATCAGGTATTATTAACTCATTGTATGAGAGAAACTAAAATACTAAGATACTGACATTGTGGATTCATTCTTCATTCCACAATATTCATTGAACACTATGTTCCTAGCAGGGTGGCAGCTGGAGCTACGGTGGCAAATAAGAAAACAATGTCCCTGCTCTCATGGGGTGGAGAGACAGACGACGAATACATAAATAAACAAGATCATTATAGATGTTGATCAATATTGTTTACGGAAAAAACTGGGTTATGTGATAGAGAATAACTTAGGGAGGGATATGGGGCAGGGGATGCTAGCGTAGATGGAATGGTCAGTTACGGGGTCCCTGCGAA